TCGAACCCACAAACCGCGAGATCATGACCTAAGCGAAAGTCAGACGCTTAACCGACTAAGCCACCCAGGCGCCCCATCCCCTAAAAATTTCTGGGTGGCTCAGTTGGTTAAGTGTCCAACTCTCGATTTTGGCTCCGGTCATGATCGTATGGTTCGTGAGATCGAGCCCAGCATCAGGCTCTGCAACTGACAGTACAGAGCCTGCTTGAGATTCTCTCTCTCTCTCTGCCCCTCCCATGCTTGCTCTCTCTCTCTCTCTCTCTCAAAAAGTTAAAAAATAAAAACATTAACAAATTTTTCATTTTTAATTGTTGAAAGCTAATATATATAGAGAGAATAAAATTGGAGCATTATTTATAGTAGACAAGATACGGAAGCAGCCCAAGTGTCTGTCCAGAGATTAACGGATAAAGAAGATGTGAGATCTGTGTACACACACACATACACACACACACACGCACGCGGGAATATTATTCAGCCATAAAAAGAAATGAAATCTTGCCCTTTACAACAGCATAGATAGAGGTAGAGAATATAGTGCCAAGTGAAATAAGAGAAAGACAAATACCATATGATTTTACTCATGTGTGGAACTTAAGAAATAAACAAGGAAAGGAAAGAAGACAAACCAAGAAACAGACTCTTGACTGTAGCGAACAAACTGAAGGTTACCAGAATGGAGGTGGGTGGCAGGATGGGTGAAATAGGTGATGGGGATTAAAGAGTACGCCTATGATACAAGAAATAAAATAAAATTTAAAAATACATAAAATTGAGTTTGTATGTTAGCCTCGTATCTGCAACCTTGTTACACCCCTAATTCTAATAACTTTTCGGTATATTCTTTGTGATTTCTCACATCTGTAGATGGTCCTGTCATCTGCAGATGAAGACAGCGTTACATATTGTTTTTCAATATGTAAAATTGTATTAGGAGTTCTAATACAATGTTCAGAGGAATATTGAGAATAGACATTCTTGCTTTATTCTTGATCTTAGGGGAAAATGCATTCATTCTTCACGTTTAAATATGATATTAAGTAAAGTTTTTTTATTTTAACTTTTTTTTTCTTTTTTTAAAGTTTATTTATTTATTTTGAGAGACAAAGCACAAGCAGGGGAGGGGCAGAGAGAGAGAGAAAGAAAGAGAACCCCAAACAGATTCCGTTGTATCAGTGCAGAGCCCCATTCAGGGCTCGATCCCACTCATGACTTGAGCTGAAGTCAAGAGTCAGATGCTTAACCAACTGAGCCACCCAGGCCCTGCGAACTATACATTTTTGAAGGTGCCCTTTATCGGGTGGAGAAGATTCAACTTTTATACTTAATTTGTTGAGTGTTTTTGAAAATATTGTGTGGGTTTTGACTGTTATCAAGTGTTCTTTTTGCTATCTGTTGATCCTATTTTCTTTATTAATGTGGTGATTCACGACTTTTCAAATGTTAAATTCATTTTGTATTTATTGGATAAATTCCACTTGGTTATGATGTATTATCCTTTCTGTATATTGCTGGATTTGGTTTGTCAATATTTTCTTAAGCGTTTCTTCATTTATACTTAAGAAGGATATTGATTTATAGTTTTCTTTTGTGTGTGTCTAAAATCTTTGTCTAGTTTTGGTATCAGGGTCATGTTGGCTTCGTAGAATGAGTTGGATACTTATACCTTTTTTTCTATTTTCTGAAATAGTTTGTCTAAGATTGGCATTGCTTTTTCCTTACATGTTTAAGAGAATTTACCAGTGAAGCCACCAGGGCCTACAATTTTATTTTTTGACTTCCATTACATGCTAAATTTCTTTTTTAATTAAATATTTTAAATTATGTTTTAAATTTAATTTTTTAAGTTTATTTTGGGGGGGGTGGGGAGTGCACGTGTGAGCAGAGGCAGGAGCAGAGACAGTGGGAGAGAGAATCCCAAGGAGGTTCTACACTGTCAGCACAGAGCCTCACATGAGGCTTGATCTCACAAACTGAAATCGTGACCTAAGCCATTGAGGCTCAACTGACTGAACCACCCAGGTGCCCTTCCCTTGTTTATTTTATTTTATTTGTTTATTTTTTCCCTTCATAGTTTATTGTCGAGTTGGTTTCCATATAACACCCAGTGCTCATCCCAACAAGTGCCCTCCTCCATGCCCATCACCCCCCTTCCCCTCTCCTCCACTCCCATGAGCCCTCAGTTTGTTCTCAGCATTCAAGAGTCTCTTATGGTTTGCCTCACTCCTTCTCCCCAACTATTTTTCCCCTTCTTCTCCCCCATGGTCCTCCGTTAAGTTCCTCCTAATCTACCTATACGTGCAAACATACGGTATCTGTCCTTCTCTGCCTGACTTGTTTCGCTCAGCATAACACCCTCAAGTTCCATCCACGTTGCTACACATGGCCAGAGTTCATTTTTTCATATTGCCATGTAGTATTCCATTGTATAGATAAACCACATCTTCTTGATCCATTCGTCCATTGATGGACACTTAGGCTCTTTCCATGATTTGGCTGTTGTTGAGAGTGCTGCTGTGAACCTTGGGGTACACGTGCCCCTGTGCATCAGCACTTCTGTATCCCTTGGGTAAATTCTTAGCAGTGCTATTGCTGAGGTGCCTTTCCCTTATTACCTTTTAAGTATCTATCGATATGCAGTGATTTTCCTGATTTCACTTATAATACTATAAATTAATGTCTTATGTATTTTTTATTGATTGGTTTAGAGGCTATCAATCTTAATACTCTCCCCAAAAAAACCAGCTTATATTTCATTGACTGTAATTTGTTTTATTCCTTTCCTTCTTTGTTGTTGTTTTAGAGAGAGAGAGCGAGAGAGAGCGTGCATGCACGCATGTGAGTGGGGAAGGAGAAGAGAGAGAGAGACCAGGACAGAGAGAATTTTTTTTTCAAGTGTATTTTTGAGAGAGGGCTTGCACACAGGGATGAGGGCCAGAGAGTAGGAGAGAGAGAATCCCAAGCAGTCTCCACACCCAGTATGGAGCCCAAGTGGGGCTCAATCCTGTGACCCTGAGATCATGACCTGAGCTAAAATCAAGAGCCCCATGCTTAACCAACTGAGCCACCCATGTGCCCCTATTTCTTTCCTTCTATTTTGGGTTTCATTTGCTCTTATTTTTCTAGCACATTGTCTAAAGTTAGTACAGTACTAAAAACATTAAATTTCCTTTCCAGCACTGCTTTAGTTGCATTCTACAAATTTAGATTATGTTGTGGTTTCATTTTTGTACAATTCAGAAGATTTTCTTACTTCCCCTGTGATTTCTTCTTTCACCCAGAGCTTATTTAGAAGTCTGTTTAATTTCCAGACATTTGGGATGTTTTTCCAGATTTTTTTTTCTATTATTGACTTCTAGTTTAATCTCATGGTCAAAGAGCATACTCTGTTTAATTTCAACCCTTTTAAATTTGAGATTTGTTTTATGGTCTGTCGTGGTGAATTTTCCTTGTGAACTTGAAAATAATATTCTGCAGCTGTTGGATGGAGCATTCCACTAATATTAATTAGGCCAAGTTGGTTGATAGTGTTATTTAGGTCTTATGTATCCTTATGGACTTTTTGATTAAGGAGAGCGGATTATTAAAGTCTCCAACTGTTAATTGTGAATTTGTCTATTTATAGCTTTTTAATTCTGTCTGATTTACTTCATGTATTTTGGAACTTTGTTATTGTGTGCATACCCACTCAAGATGATTATGTCTTCTTGAGCAACTCCTTTATTTTTGAACTGTCCTTGTTTATATTTGGTAATATCTGCTATTTTGAAGTTGTCTGAGATTAATATTGCTACTGAAGCTTTCTTACGACTAGCGTTTGTATGAGATATCTTCCATCCTTTGGCCTTTTACTTATGTTTCTTTTTGTTAGAAGTGGTTTTCTCCTAGATAGCACACGGCTGGGTCTTGCTTTTCCCCCCACAAAGTTTGACAGTCTCTGTCTTCTAACTGGAATGTTCCATTTATATTTGAGGTAAATATAAATATGGTTGGGTTTAAGCCTACCATCTTGCAATTTTTTTTTCATCTGTTCTTTGAACCCTATTTGTCTTCTCTTGGATTGAATTAAAAAAACTTTTTAAGATTTTATTTTTAAGTAATCTCTGCACCCAATATGGGGCTCGAACCCACAACCCAGGATCAAGAGTCGCATGCTCTACCTACTGAGCCAGCCAGGTGCCCCAGATGGAGTAATTTTTAAGGATTTTGATCTCTACTATTGGTTTAGCTGTATCTCTATTTTTTTTTTTTTTTTGTCAGTAATTACTGTGAAGTTTACCATATGTTACTTAAGGTTCCCAGAGCTCACTTTCAAATGATAAACCAATTCACATAGAACGTAAAAACCATACAACAGCATGGTTCTGTTGCTTCTGTCATCCGTTATACTATTAGTGTCCTGACCTAACTTGTACCTGTGTCATCAAATCACCCTGTAGTGCATTTTGGAGAGACAGAGCGTGAGCAGGGGAGGAGCAGAGAGAGAGGGAGACACAGAGTCTGAAGCAGGGTCCAGCCTCTGTGCTGACAGCTCAGAGCCCGATGTGGGGCTGGAACTCACAAACCGCGAGGTCACGACTTGCGAAGTCGGACCCTCAACCGACTGAGCCACCCAGGCGCCCCTCCCCTGCAGTGCATTTTAAGTTATTTTTTTTAATTTTTAAAAATTAAAATAGTAGAAATAAATAAGATAAAATGAATATAATATACTTAAGATATCTTTGCTATTTACCAGCATATTTACCATTTCTGTCATTCTTTTGTGTTATCCAGTTTTCATCTGGTATTGGTTTTCTGCTTATAAGATTTTTTCTGGCATTTCTTGTGGTATGGGTATACTGTTGACAAATTCTTCTGGCTTTTTTTTTTCCTCTTAAAAAGCTTTTATGTTTATTTATTTTTTGAGTTTTAATGTTTTAAGTTTTAATTCAAGTATAGTTAACATGCAGTATAGTGTTTCCGGTGCACAGTATAGTGATTCAACAATTCTACACATTACAAAAAGCATGGAAGACTTAATAGATTTTCATGTCGTCCCTGGACGGGGCCCATGCTGATCTCTGTATTGTTTCAATTTTAGTGTATGCGTTGCTGAATTGAGCACATTTTATTTTGTATTTATTTTTAAAAGGTATTTTTACTGAATGGGGCACCCGGGTGGCTCATTTGGTTAAGGGTTAAGCATCTGATTCTTGATTTCAGCTCAGGTCATTGCTCATGGTTCGTGGGTTTGAGTCCCGCATTCGGGCTCCATGCTGACAGCACAGAGCCTGCTTGAGATTCTTTCTCTCTCTCTCTCTCTCTCTGTCTGTCTTTCTCTCCCCCCACCGCTCCCCCACATGTGTGCTCCTCTCCCCCTTTCTCAAAAACAAATAAACTTAAAAAAAGTGAAAATCTGTTTTCACTAGATATAGAATTCTAGGTTGACAGTTTTAATCCCTGTGGGCATTTTAAATTATTTTTTTAAAAAAATGCTTATTTATTTTTGCGAGAGAGTGGGGGGAGGGACAGAGAGCAATGGGGAGAGAGAGAATCGCAAGCAGGCTCCAAGCTGTCAGTGCAGAGCCCAACGTGGGGCTTGATCCCACAAACCATGAGATCATGACCTGAGCTGAAGTCCGATTCTTTTTTTTTTTTTTAATATTTTTTATTTATTTCTAGGAGAGAGAGAGAGAGAGACAGCGTGAGCAGGGGAGGGTCNTAGTACTTCAGTAGTAGAATTGCTGGATCATATGGTAGTCCTATTTGTAATATTTTAGGGAACTTTCATACTGTTTTCCACAGTGGCTGTACTAGTTTACATTTTCACCAACAGTGCATGAGAGTTCCCTTTTCTCTACATCCTTGCCAACGCTTGTTATTTCTTGTCTTCTTGATACAAACCATACTGACTGGTGTGAGGTGATACCGTTGTGGTTTTGACCTATATTTTCTTTTTTAAAATTATTTGTGTGTGAGAGAGAGACAGACAGCGTGAGCAGGGGAGGGTCAGAGAGAGAGGGAGACAGACTCCGAAACAGGCTCCAGGCTCTGAGCTGGTAGTCAGCACAGAGCCCGACGCGGGGCTCGAACCCACGAACCGTGAGATCATGACCCAAACGAAAGTGGGACGCTTAACCGACTAAGCCACCCAGGCGCCCCTGAAGTCAGATTCTTAACTGGCTGAGCCACCTAGATGCCCCACCTAGGTGTGGGCAATTTAAAGCTATGAGGCCATTGTAGTTTTTTTTTTTTAATTAATTTTTAATTATTTATTATTTTAGAGAATGCAAATGGGGCAGAGGGGCAGAGGGAGAGAGAGAATTTTAAGCAGGCTCTGCGCTCAGTGCAGAGCCCCTGACACAGGGCTTCATCCCACAACCCTGGGATCATGAGCCAAAATCAAGAGTCAGATGCTCAGCTGACTGTGCCACCCAGGCACCCCATCACTGTAGTTTTTAGTTGGCTTGTGTAGCTTCTGATCAGAAACCCGAGGTCATTCTTAATCTTGGTTAATATCTGTAGGTGATAGTTCTCTCTTTTTCTGGCTGCTTGTAAGATTCCCCCTTTACATGGGTTTTTATTTTATTAAATTATTTTTAAATTTTTATTTATTTTTGAGAGAGAGAGAGACAGAGACAGAGCAGAAGTGGGTGAGGGGCAGAAAGAGGGGGAGACACAGAATCGGAAGCAGGCTCCAGGCTCTGAGCTGTCAGCACAGAGCCCGATGTGGGACTCAAACCCACGACCATGAGCTCATGACCTGAGTCGAAGTCGGACGCTTAACCAACTGAGCCACCCAGGCGCCCCAGTCCTACTTTGTTTTTATGCAATATATTTCTCTCCCTACTATGATCTTGTTTTCCTTTGAATTTTCTTTTTATTGAGGCATAATTGACATACATTAGATTAGTTTCAGGCATACAACATAATGACTCAATATATGTATTTTAAAAATTGCATTAGAGATGTCTGGGTGGCTCAGTTGGTTGAGTGTCTGAGTCTTGATTTTGGCTCAGGTCACGATCTCGGTCATGGGCTCAAACCTGCCACGCACTCCACGTTGAGTGTGGGCCTGCTTAAGTTTCCCTCTTTCTTTCTCTCTGCCTCTCTCCCCCACTCACGCTCCCTCTTTCTCTCTCTAAAGTAAATAAGATAAAATAAAAAATAAAATTGCATTAAATTCTTAAATAAAGTTGTAACACCTGTCTCAATGTTTTCATGTCTGCAGATTATTTCTTCTACTTTTTCTTTTTACTTTTTTAAAATGTTTAATTTAGAGAGAGAGAGCGAGTGGGCAAGGGGCAGAGATAGTGGGAAACACAGAATCAGAAGCAGGCTTCAGGCTCTAGAGCTGTCAACACAGAGCCCAATGTGGGGCTTAAACTCATGAAGTGCTAAGATCATGATCTGAGCTGAAGTTGCACACTTAACCGAGTGAGCCACCCAGACGCCCCTTCTTCTACTTTTTCTTATTATTATGGATCACACTTCCCTGCTTCTTGACATCTGGTGAGACCATTGATTGGATGCTGGGTGCTGCAAATACTACATTGTTGAGGGTCTGGATTTTGTGGTCATACTTTAAAACATGTTGAGATTTATTCTGGTGGATAGTTAAGTTACTTTTGTTCATTTTGATTCTGTCAAGTCCTGTGTGTGTGTGTGAGATTTTATTTTTTTAGTAATCTCTACATCGAACATGGGGCTCGAACTTACAACCTCAGGATCAAGAGTCACATGCTCTACCAGCAGCCAGCCAGGCGCCCCTCATCAAGTCCTGTTTTTAGGCTTTGTAAGGGTGGATCTAGGGTGGCCTTTTACCCTAGGGAGAATCTGCCCTCTCCTCAACAGGATGTGGCCCTTCCGGGTCATCCTGAGTGCCTTGACGGAGCAGTGAGGACATGCCACTCCGGTGCTCGGGACCTTGAGGTCTGTGGGGGCTCTGGGAGCCATTCAGCTCACTGCTGCCTCGTTGCTCTTCCCAAGCCTCGTGGAGGTTCGCTCTGCGTGTGCACACGTTTTCATATTGAGCGAAGTTGTAAGGGAATCTCTGCAGATTTCTGGATCTCTCTTTCTGCATGGCCCTCTCCTCTCTGGGACTCTGTCCTTCAACTTTCAGCTGCTTTAGCCTCCCTGAACCCTAATCTCTGTTTCCTCCACTCAGCAAGAGATTGCCATCCCCTGCTGGGGACCACCCCCTCCTTCTTGGGCTGAAACTTGCCTCCCAGGCTGATCTAGGGACTCCTATCATTCGTTTCTGTCCTGTCGGGAATCACTGCCGTCCAGTGTCTGCACACAGTGGTGTCATTTATTTTGTTTAGTTTTTTTTCTTTTTTTTTAGCTAGTGGGAGGGTAAGTCTGGTCTCAGTTCCTCCATCACAGATAGAGGAGAAGTCTATTGGTTGATTTTGAGCGGAGGAGTGATAGGATGTAAGTTCTTTTCTCTCATCTGATCCTGACTGTGAGGTGGTGGCATCATTCCCATGATTTCCAGAAAACCGAGGTTCAGAGAAGTTGAGCAGACACCCGTGGTCACTCAGATTTTAGTGCCGAAGTTCATGCACTTGCCTCTGTGCCGGTGCCTCTCAAAAAATCTTTGAATTGCACCTTACTCTTCACAGATCGATGGGCCAGACTGGCCTAGGACCTGTCCAGAGTTACACAGCCGCTTGGTGGGTGCGGGACGCACACACCTACACCTGGCTCTTCTGCCGGGTGCTGGGACCTGAGCTGCGGGTGCCTTTGGTCTTTGCTGTGCCTCCAGGTCAGCACTTGGGCACACCTTCCGGCTGGGGGAGGGCAGTGCCTGGGCAGGAGGAGCGGGAAGACCCTTGTGCCTTTCAGTCTGGGAGCACTTCTGTCTCCCACTGTGGCCTGTTTTTGTCTGTTTTTTAAAATAGTCTCAGGCTTTTGCTCTTCTTCCCTTCCTGCCGCCCCTGTTCTGGCCCCCAGGGCTCCTGACCGTGTTCGCTGCGGAGAGCCTGCTTCTTATACCTCTGCAGCGGGGCCTCGGCTGGTGATTTCTAAGCCTGTTGTTATTGTTTTTAAAGTCAAGACCACCCTAGCAAGATGTCGGGGAGCAAGGTGGAATTTCATCGGTAGGGGTTTGTCTCAAGCCAGGAAATAGATTTGACCACTGACAGCGGGTCGATGCGGGGGGTGGTGGCTGAGAAGCGGTGGGCTCTCCTAGGAGTGGGCCCGTGAGGCTGCCAGGCCGCACGTGCGGGGTACTGAGCTTCTGCCGGGCAGTCGGCCGCTCACACCTTTGCCCTTCTTTGAGGCGACACGTAGAGCTGCATGTTAAAGGGGGGTGTCTGTGCCCCACCGCGGCACAAGGAAGCACAGTGGTCTGGATGCTCCGGGGTCCTGTTGGGACTTGAATGGGACAGTTCCTCACGTGCTGCTGGACATAAAGCCTCCTAGGTCCCTGCCTTCTCCGTGCCAGTGAGATTCCCTGGTCACTGTGATGACCGCAGGGGGTGTGTGTGTGTGTGTGTGTGTGTGTGTGTGAGAGAGAGAGAGAGAGAGAGAGAGAGAGCACGCCCACAAACTGGGGAGGGGAGGGGAGGGGGGAGAGAGAGAAAATCCCAAGCAGGCTCCACACTCAGCGCAGAGCCCGACATGGGGTTCAACCCCATGACCCTGGGATTATGACCTGAGCTGAAACCAAGAGTTGGACCTTCAGCCACTGAGCCACCCAGGTGCCCCACCCCCACACGTTTCCTGGTCCTCTCTGGGGTGTGTGTGGGGGCGGTTCTGCCCTGAGGCTGAGAAGCTCTGGACCTCAGGCTGCACTGGGAGCCGGAGTGTTAAGTTGTAGGTGAAACCATTTGGGACCGGACGGGCACCTCCTGCTGTGGTCCTCTGCTGGCTGCTTTTGTGTGTATGCATATGAAGTGATTCCTTTGTTAATGTCTTGAATTAAAAAAAAAAACAAACACACTGCCACCTGAGCTATTTATTGGGTACTGGTAACGGGTAATATTTTAGGTGCTGAGGATCAGCCTTCAGTAAGATGGTCAAGTGCCTGCCTTTAAGGAGGTTAAAATCTAGTGGACCAGGTAGATAATAACTGGGAACCCGGTGAAGGATTTCGGGTGGAATTACCAAGGAAATCAATATGGATAGTAGGAAGGGTAAAGGCCATTTTGGTCACCAAGAAATGATTTTCTAAAGAACACTGAGATGAGAAATGGGGGATGGTCCGCTTCAGACTGCAGATATTTCAGCAGGAGCTGGAGTAACGTCTCGAGTATCATCAGTATTAGGCAGTTCCTAGCTTGGTGAGAAGTCCTCTGTGAGTTCACTGATGAGGTCTGACAGACCTCAGTCCCACTGTGAGTTCCAGCTGGTGTGGGGAAATCTTGCTCCTTCTTGCAGCTCTGAGACTAAGCTTGGAGCCCTGCCTTTGGTGTTCTGAGACTCCAGAAGGCTCTGGAAGTCAAGACTTGAGGAATTTGGAGAGTGCTACCATTCAGATTCCTTGACAGGGGTACGCACACACACACGTATGGGTTCTTAAACGCTTTGAATGTCCCTGGGAGAATCTGTAAGGAACCAGCGTCAGTGGTCAGCCCCACAAGGAAGAGGGGAGTGTTGGAATGAGAGAGTAGCTTTCTTTTAAAAATTTTTAATACTCATTTCCTTTTTAAGTGGAGTACAATTCTGTGGCTCACAGTTTAGCAGGGTACAAAAGGGTGCATGATGAAAGAGACTTGGTACTCTATAGTCTTCCCTCTGGCAAATGCTAGCTGTTCAAAAGGTGAACTCATTTTAAGGGAAGTTCCTTGGTGATCGTGATTCATAGTGATTCCTTGTATTTTAGGAAGAAGAAAGCTGTGGATTAAGTCAGAATGAGGCTTCCTAAATATTAAAGCTGTTTGAGTTAGTTTTGTTGAGTCAAATAACCCACATTATAATTTGTTGGAGGTATAGCATTAGGAGTGTTGCTTAATGAAATGTGGTCTAAACAAAACTCGATCATTTTAGTTTCTTTAAATGAAATTAAAAAAAGTTTTTTTTAATGTTTATTTTTGAGAGACACACACAGTATGAGCGGGGGAGGGACAGAGAGAGAGAGAGAGAGAGTCACAGAGTCTAAAGCAGGTTCCAGGCTCTGAGCTGTCAGCACAGAGCCCAGTGTGGGGCTTGAACACATGAACTGTGAGCTCATGACCTGAGCTGAAGCTGGCGGCCACTCAACTGACTGAGCCACCCGGGCGCCTCTAAATAAAAATTTTTAAGTTTATTTATTTATTTGGAGAGAGAGTGTGTGTGTGCATGCATGCTAGCGCTAGTACGGAGGGGCAGGGAGAGAGAAAGAATCCCAAGCAGGCTCTCTCTGCACCAAAGGTGGGGCTTGAAAGTATGAACTGTGAAATTATGACTTGAGCTGAAGTCAAAAGAATCAGGACACTCAACCGAGTCACCCAGGCTCTAATCCCCTCTCTCCAATTTTTTTTTAAATGTTTTATTTATTTCTGAGAGAGAGAGAGAGTGTGAGCAGGGGAGGGTCAGAGAGAGAGGGAGACACAGAATCCGAAGCAGGCTCCAGGCTCTGAGCTACAGAGCCCGACGCGGGGCTCGAACCCACAAGCCGTGAGATCATGACCTGAGCCGAAGTCAGATGCCCAACCGACTGAGCCACCCAGGCGCCTCTCTCCCCAATTTTTTTTTTTTAAGTAGGCCTGATATCCAGTGAGGAGCCCGATGTAGGGCTCGAACTCACGAAACTGTGAGATCATGACCTGTGTTGAAACCAAGAGCCAGACACTTAACTGACTGAGCCACCCAGGTGCCCCCAAAACTCGATTATTTTAAGTAGAATGGTTCAAATCCCTTTAGGACCAATTGCTGGCTGAGTCATCACAAGCATGTTATTTATCTCCTTTGCCTCTGTTTCCTCATCAGCAATAATTTCATACATATATTGTAGAATTGCATGAAGAAAGAGGTAAATAAATGTTAGCACTTAGTATTTGCCAAATGGAGTGAAGGAAAGCCCTCAGGAAGATAATGAACTTTATAATCCATCCGGTCGAGTGAGAACCACTCTACTCTTTGTCGCCTTTCATTCATTCAGTAAATATCTGTGGAAGGCCTAGTCTGTGCCTGATACTGGCCTGGGCCCCAGGGATACAGCGATATGCACACACAGACGGTTCCTGACCCTGTGGAGTTCATAATCTGGTGTGCGACCCAGACATCAATCAGATAATCACACAGGTAAAATTGCAGTTCTCAGTCCTTGAAGGAGAGGTGGATGGTGTTAGGATATAATAGGGAGAGTCCACCCTGTCGTGGGTGTCAGAGAAGGAATGCTTCCCCAAGGAAGTGACTTAGCCGAATTGAACTGTCAGAGGCTCGGGCAGGGATAGCATGTGCAAAGGCCCGTGTGTCTGTTGTGTAGAGCTGGGGAGCATGTGTCACACAGACCTGGGCTGCAGTCAGGGGATGCAAGGCCTCACAGCCACACCCACAAGGTTTTCTGTGTTAGGGCTGCTGTTGTAGTTGGTCACTGCAGTGGGATCTGATCATTATCATTTTGGAATGATATAGTCTGTTTGCAGCGTGGGAAGCGAATCAGAAGAGAGCCAGCGTGGATGTGGGTAAACTGGTGGGAAGGCTATTGGAGTGGCCCAGACAGAAGACTGTGGAAGCTTTGGCCCAAGTGATGACAGTAGAAGTGGAGAGAAGTGGATGGACTCACTGCATGGATATTTAGGAAGGAATATCGGCAGGACTCGATAATTCATTAGCTCTGGTGGGTGGCCGAGAAAGAGCTGTCAAGGATGGCCTTTTTTTTTTTTTAAATTTTAAAAAAATATTTATTTATTTTTGAGACAGAGAGAAACAGAGCACGTGCTGGGGAGGGGCAGAGAGAGAGGGAGACATAGAATTGGAAACAGGCTCCAGGCTCTGAGCTGTCTGCACAGAGCCTGATGAGGGGGCTCAAACTCATGGATCTCGAGATCATGACCTGAGCCAAAGTCGGCCGCTTAACCGACTGAGCCACCCAGGTGCCCCAAGGTTGGCCTTTTGGACTTTAGTTTGTATATTGTGGTGGAAGGTTGTGCCATTGGCTCAGACAGGGAATAGTGGCAGAGGACACGTGTGGCAGAGGGATTGTGAATCCTGCTAAGGGACTTGTTGAGTCCAGAGGAGGCTAGGAGGCAGCTGGGTGTAGCTCTACATGCGAGTTATGCTGCTGTGAGCAGGGAGGGGGAAGGAAGAAGGGAAAGAGTGCTCAGGTTCCCAGAGACTTTCCCCTTGGTTTTGAGCACGCTGACCTTGCCCTGGGACTTTGGATGAGGAGCTAGAGTCCTTCTCCCAGCCAGAGTCCTCGCCACTGTGCGGTGTGCCAGCCGTACCGGGGCAGCTGGGTGTGAGGAATTCTTTGGGGACCCTCTGTGGACTGGACTCTTTCCTCCCCCACCTTCTGTGTTTTTCCCCCGGAGGAGGCCTGGCGCTTGCCGTCTGTCCGAAGGAGCTGGGAGGATTGTGGAGGCTGGAGGCTGGCTCCTGAGACCCGCCGATCAGCTGCACTTGTCTGGATATTATCTGTAGATAATTGGAAATTGGCATGAACATCAGTAACAGTAAATTAATCATAACTCTCTCAAACTGCTTGTTTTATTCTTTGGGAGATTTGTGAGTTTCCTCCGAGCCTGTCTGTCTCTGTCTCTCCCTTTCTCTAAATTTGGCTTGACCATTAGCCCCGGGTTGAAGGCGAATGTGAGGATGAGGCAAGTGTGAGATCCAGAGGAGGAAGAGGGTAACAGACTAGAGCCAGGCTGAGACCCCGTTGCTGCCTGCCTGCTGCTTGGCCCCTCAGCCTGTCACTAGCTTCATTACAAAACTGATTCAAGCATGGCTGTCTTTACTCCTGTGGATTGGTGTCCTCAGTGACAGGCGATAAATAGGAACCAGCGTCCATAGTTTTTCTTTGCTTCCTGGCTCCGAGCAGATGCCTGGAGCAAATCCTGAGTGTGGGCAACTGGCGCCCCCTTGTGGCTGGTTCTCCACTTGTGCTCTGCTCTTCGCCGTCAGGTGGAAGATAGCAAAAGGGAAGTTTTGCTGTCACGTACAGCCTTTCCTCTGGACTTGGCTGTTTCTTTGGATCTCAAGGTGACCCTCAGCCCTCGCTGCTCAGCCGATCTTGGCCCTCTTAAGCCAAACATAGCCTTCTTCTTGAGATGCTGTTGTAGCAAACCCAGACACAGTCTCTTCTCGTTTCCTGGGCAAACCCAGAGTCCGCGGGCTGCTTCTTCCAGGTGGGGCACTGCAGAACACCGTACAGTCTGAGACGCTGGTGGGCGCTAGGAGGAACGGGTGTTGGTGTGTGCTGCTTGAGAATGGGGCATCTTTGGCTGTTTGATGTCCATTGGGTGGCACTGTGATCTTATTTTTGTTTCTATTTTTCTTTGCAGCCAAGCTCTACTCCAGGAGGTGAAAATGTGGTGCCTCGAGAGCCTCTGGTAAGTACCGAAGATATGTAGTATCATTTCCTAATAAGTAAAGTATGGTGTGAGTACGGAGAGACCTATGATCCTGGAGTTTTGCATCATTTAGGGCCCCTTCAAAAGTAGGTATTAAGTGGAGTCTTAACTTAATGGCCTTTGACTTCTGACTTCTTCTCTGGCTTGCAGGGATCAGTGAGCTGTCTCCTTACGAAAGCCTGGTCTTTTCTGGAAGGGAAAGCATCCACCCCAGGGGGTGATGGCACCACTTTGTTGCTGATCAGTAGTGATTAGTGGGATGCCCAAAGCCTTCGGAGGTGGGACTAGGCTGCTGGGCCTGCCCAAGTTGCTACTTGATTGTCTGAAATAGCCATTCTGCCCTTCAGGGGGAGAGCGCCTTCAGGTGGCCTTTGGGGAACAGGTAGGGCAGGGAGTTCTGTTTTCGCCTGGGCAGTAATTCGTGATGATCGTTACCGGCATTATCTGCTTATGGTGCTGATGGGGAAGAGGCCTCCTAAGCACTGCACAGCAGCTCTCTTCACAGGGTGCCTTTGCTTTGGTTGTCTGAGCCCCAGTCCCTGCCAGCGCGCCCCATTTTCGTCCTCTAGTTTGCACTGCAGGGCCTGCCGCGGGTCCTGTTTGCTGGGTAGTAAGACCTGTTCTGTGCCAGCCTGATAAGCTTCACGGAGGGCCGGCTTTGAGAGCTCTGCCTTTGTTTGGTGACAGCGAGCTGCGGGACACAGGCCTGCTTTTCTTCCCTCTCCTCCAGCAGCAGTGGGAGGAGGTGATGTGAGGTCTTAGCTGGCGTGAACAGGCCTGAAGTGTAGCCCGTTCTAAGGCTTCCCGAGGCAGAAGGTGAGTTGGATTTGGCCGCGCTGTAGAAAGACCAGGGTGACGCCAGCGCCCCCCGGGGCTGGTTCGGGGGGGGGGGACCCCGGTTGTCGTCCTGTTACCTGCTGTTACCAAGTGTGGCTCCCATCCCCCTGTGGCCTGCGGTGGCTTCCTTCGCTCTTTTGGGGAGGTCAGGGTGGCATGAAGACCAGAGGCTTCAGGCTTTTCCCTGCCAGGCCCTTGGATCAGGAGTTTGAGTGTCCCCTGGGGCCTGTCAGTCCCCACCGGCTGGAGTCGCGGTTGGTTTTGGACTAATGTCCAAATCGAACACTGTCGTCCTCGGTAGTCTTCTACTTCCTCAGCCTCCTTCTACGTTTTTCTCTACCGACTTAAGTGTCCATCGCCAGCCGAGGGGCTGGTCCTTCTTTTTTTTTTTTTTTAAAGGTTTCTTTTTTTTTTTTTTAATGTTTTATTTATTTCTAGGAGAGAGAGAGAGAGAGACAGCGTGAGCAGGGGAGGGTCAGAGAGAGAGGGACTCACAGACTGAAACAGGCTCCAGGCTCCGAGCTGGCAGTCAGCACAGAGCCCGACGCGGGGCCCGAACCCACGAACCGCGAGATCATGACCTAAGCGAAAGTCGGACGCTTAACCGACTAAGCCACCCAGGCGGCCCTGGTCCTTCTTTTAAAGCGTGATTGGGTAAACTCTCAGGGGTTCTTTCTAGCAGTGAGCCCCGAGCCGCGGGCAGCCTGGCTGGCTTCCGGGCATTTGGAGCCCGCAGCCCCCTGCCCTGCTGATACCCCACCGTACACTGCATCTGCTTGGTGGTTGGTTGTATTTTTCTTTCTTTCTTTTCTGGGAGGCCCCGAGCAGTCTTCAAACCCTAGTAGCCCGTGATCGTCCAGAGTTCAGACTCATTCTCTCCAGGCCAACTCTACAATTACCTTATATTTAATTAATATTTTTTTCCCCTTCTTTACATACTTGCCGCATAATTGCTCAGAGGAAAGAAAACACATAGCAGCAATTTATATATATATAAAAAAAACAATAATTAAAAAAAACACCCCGAAATAAACTCCCGTCTCATTTGGGCTGATCCTACGAGTTGGGTAATTAGGGCCCTATTAAAAGGTAGACCCTTTCTCCTTCCCTTCTTCTTCTTTTTTTTTTTTTATTAATTTTTTTATATTAAACTCCCACAGTCTCTCAGTCATGCCCTTATTGCTTTTGGCCAACCATTTGCAGCAGCCTGATTAAATGAGGGCACCAGCCGAGTTGTATGGTCTTGTGTGAGCTGCTGCTGCCTCTCGAGAGCGGAGGTGGGAGGGTGCTGGGCAGAGGCGGCCCGCCGAGGACTCGTGGCGGGTATGGGTGCAGGACTTGGAGCTGGCAGCAGGCTGGGTGAGAGTCACAGGGCACCGGGGAAGGGATGAGGGTCCCTCCCACCCCCCGCAGCGAGCTCCCAGCACTGTGCCTGAGCCCCGTTTCCGCAGGGCAGGCTTCTCAGGTGTGGGCATTAGCCGTCGCCTCTTGGACGCTCGGAGGACCAGACCGCTGAACAATAAAAGCTGAGCCTTTTTCTGTAATGTATGCATTTTATCGGGGAAGAAAAGGCATTTGTACACATGAAACAATTAGCAGACAACACCAGACCATATATAATTTTAGCAAACAGCACAAAATCGCATATAATTTGGTGCAGAATTGCCTGGCTGGGAGTCTAAGAGCCCTCATTATTGAGAGAAGGAAGCGTTCTGCCTGGGGTGTGCTTAGGGGTGGCTTCGGCGAAACTTGAGGCCAGGCCTCGAGGAATCGGATTTTCCAGTATGGGGGGAACGCCCTGCTAAGTGGTTTTTGTTTTTGTTTTTAACTGAGCACGTATCTTCCACAAAATTCTTTCGTGGAAGCTGCCCGCTCCTCCACGCTCAAAGGGCTAAGCGCAGGGTACTGAAGGCAAATAATCTTACTCTTTGTCTCCAGAACTAGGCGATCACTTTGGAATAATTTTTCCCTTTATTAGAAAGTGAATTAACGACAGAAGGGGCTCTGAGGAGTGATCAGTACAGCACAAATGACATGGACAGGTGACGCTCGGGTGTCTCCATTGTGATTTTGCTTTATCTGCTAGAGAAAAGGAGGGCCTGATTTTCACTGCTGCCCTCTCCGGACCATAAAAACTGTCTTGTGATTTTGGTGGTGAGGAGTATTGTCTTGTCATCTCTTAAAGGACACATTTGTGTTTTTAGCCATCGCCTTGTCCAGATTCTTGCCCCTCCGTCCTCCTCCTCCCCCAGCCCCGGCCGTATCAGTGAGGTAGTTGCTTTTTGAGGTCGTAATGTCCTCGGGGCAGGAGACTGGTGGACAGACTGGTCTTGATAAATTTTGTAAACTCCCAGTTGAAATTCCTATATTATTGATGATAAAACTCTGCCAAAGTTAAAGTGGCCGATGGCTTTTTCTTCTTTATATACTTTCTTCCCTGAGCTTTGCCTTCTTGGGCAGGGAGTTTTGACAGCCCTCCAGAATATTGCCCTCCAGCTCCCCAGCCCCCTGCCCCCGACCATTTGAAAGGCTTCTGTAAAGGCCCTAATTTTCTCGTTACCACCAGGCCCGGGGTCAGGCCCCTTATACTGCTTTCGCAGGATCAAGCCCCACCTTGCCGAGGGGTCTTTTTTTTTTTTTTTTTTTGAGACCCAGAGAGCAAGCAGGGGAGGAGCAGAGAGAGGGAGACACAGAATCAGAAGCAGGCTCTGAGCTACCAGCACAGAACCCGATGTGGGGCTCGAACCCATGAACCGTGAGATCATGAACTGAGCTGAAGTCGGCCGCCTAACCAACTGAGCCACCCAGGCTCCACCCGAAGGGTCTTTAATTGGGGGGACTTTAATTGTCTGCTTGGACTAGCTCGGTTCCTACCTTGCTGGGATCCAGAAACTAGGGTTAAGTAACCATCTGAGAGTCCTTTTAGTCATATGAGTTGTGGTGATTTCAAGTGAGCAATAAATAAGGTTTCATTTGCCCTTTGCTCGCTGGTTTCAACACGATGTCTTTAATATCCAGCAATACTACAGCTCACCTGCTTTTTGCAGTGCTTACGCATTTGGGTTAAGCTAGCATTTTGCCTTTTTGTTCTTTGACACCAAGTTCTTCCTAATGGAAGAGTCTCCTGCCTCTGACTTGTAGGTATAGTTTCTTTGTTCTGATTTGTTTTGGTTTATATCCTTTCCCTGCATCCCTCCACCCCAGTACTCCCAAACTACATAACTTTATTATTATTATTGTTATTTTTGATGTTTATTTATTTTGAGAGACAGAGCATGCAAGCAGGGAAGAGACAGAGAGAGAGGAAGAGAGAGAATCTCAAACAGGCTTTGGTCTGTCAGCACAGAACCTGACCTGGGGCTCGATCTCTTGAACTGTGAGATCGTGACCTAAGCCGAGATCTAGAGTCAGAAGCTAAAGTGACTGAGGCAGCCAGGCGCCCCTACGATAACTTTATTTTTATTAAGGATGAACATCATTTCTACTTTATCACCCTCCCTAGAATTAATAGTTTTTAGTAGGCTGAATTATTAAAAATAAGGATGCTCTACACTTGCAGAGCAAGGCCGTATCTCAGTTTTGCCCTATAGGTAAGGAAGTTTCCTGTAGCTTCCAGTGTCCCCCTGAGGCTGATGGAACCTTGGGCGGGGGCGGAGAGCAGGGGCTCCTACATTGTGTATTTGATCTCAGTCTTTTTGGGGAGCTCATCCACCTTATGCTTGGGACACCCAAGATTTTCTTTATTTTTTAATTTTTTCTTAATATTTATTTTTGAGAGAGAGAGAAACAGTGTGTGGGGGGGAGGGGCAGAGAGAGAGGGAGACACAGAATCCAAAGCAGGCTCCAGGCTCTGAGCTGTCAGCACAGAGCTTGACACAGGGCTCGAACTCACAAACCGTGAGATCGTGACCTGGGCCAAAGTTGGACGCTCAACCTATTGAGCCACCCAGGCGCCCCTCTTTTTGGTTTTTAAGCCATTGAACCAGGGACTGGTAATCAAAAGACCATTAATATCTTGATGAATCCAGGGAGTTAGTCTGTGAGCTTTTCTTTAAGAATAGCTGGGTGGCTAGTTGCTTATCTCCTGGAGACCTCGCATGTTTTCCTGGTACAGCCTCACTCTGTATTTGTATCTTTTGTGG